TTTTTGGTTATTTCAAAATCGGTTTCGGTTTTAACCGAAACCGGTTTTTGCCCACCCCTACCAACGGCAACAGGACTCATTCTTTAGCCCATATATCCCAGAAATTTGTTCTTTTTAATTTGAAGCTGTTGGGCGCGGAATAAGTGGCTTGGAAGAAGCTGATATTGAACAAGTCTAAGGTTAGGGGTGGCAGATTATGGAAGGCCATCATGGATTGTGCTGGTGATGAATACGACATCGAAATCTTGGAGCTGATAAAGGCGGTGGCCGGCGGCGAACTCCCTGAACAAATCCTAATTCAGGCAGTCCAAAATTATATACTGCAAGAATTAAGGAAATTTTAGGTAACCTCATAAGATATTAGATATATAGTTTACTGATATGTTCAGCAAGGGTTAGTTTTTTTTACTTTCTTTGTGACAGTTCCCACTCTCTTTGTATTCTGTTTAATCTTAAATGAAGATTTTTGCATTTTCAACACATTGGTTTTTCCTGAAAAAAGAAAATTACAAAGAATGATAAGGGAAGCCATTGATCTTGAATGAAATTCTTTGCATCTGCACAAAAAATGGCTGGTGTTCTGTTTGGATGAATTTAAATTTTTATGAATTCTCAAATGATTAGAAAAGATTTAGATAAGAATATAAGTTTATCATTTTTTTATATAAAAATAATTTTTTTGAAAATTTAAATTAAATAGTAAGATTTTGCCTTTTTATTTAAATATATGAACATTATCTCATTTTGATTAAAACTCTCGTTTGTCATGTCATCATCACAATCTAATAAATCTTTCAATAAAAAATTAGAAAAGATTGTAAAATTTCATATTCTTATTTGAAAAAAAATAGAAATTTACCATTTAATTTAAAAACCTAAAAATTTTGTATTTTTAAATTGATTAATAACAAAGTTGTTATCCTTATTTGTCCATTGTCTTCTCAAATGATGAGATTTTCATATTTTGTTACTTGAAAATTAACTTGAAAATTAACAATTGTAAATTCCATAATTAATAATTTGAAAATGATAAACAATTGAATGGGGGTAGCCTGCTAATATTAGAGTGGTTTCTCTATTCAATGATTTTGTTCTTCAATTTGGTGCAAGAACTATTAATGTAAATGGATATTCCTACTAAAATAAAATCAAGATTTTGTTGTATATGGTAATTTTTTTATTGATAATGTGTTTGCTTAGTTTTTAGGTTAAAATACTAATTTGGTCCCTTATCTTTCAAATTTGTTTAAAATTGTCCTTTAACTTCAAAAGTATCAAAATTGTCCCTAAACATCAATTTTTAATACCAAAAAAGTTTTCTATTAATAAAAGTATCATATAACTCATTATTTTATCATAAAATTAGTTTTTTAAAATATTAATAACATGTAAAATCAAATAGTCATATGTTGTTATTGTAGCATATTTTTATTTATAAATTAGATTGATATATAATTAGAATTGAAAAATTAAATTGATATTTGTAATCAAAATTCAAGAATTAAGTAGTACTTATCTTCAAAGTTTAAGGACTAAATTGGTATTATTTTTAAAGTTTGAGGACTATTTAGGTACTAGAAATTAAAGTTCAAGGATAATTTTGATACTTTTTAAGTTGAGAGACAATTTTAGTACAAATTTAAAAGTTAAGGGCTAAATTAATATTTTAACCTAATTTTTAAGTTTACTTGATGAATGAGAGAAATTGTGGAGAGTAATTATCTAAAGGATTACTTGTTTTGCAGGCAAAATTAAGATCCTTGAATGGGGGAGAAAGGCCAATATTAGGAGGCTCTCCTCTAATCTAAAGATAATTATTTTGTAATTTAATATAATTTAAATTATAAAAATAAA